TTGCTCGTGTCGGGTACTCTCCCACCAGACTCTCCTCTAGCACCATTGCCTCGGTCACCCCTCACTGCCGCGTCTCCGCAGTATGCACTCACGTCTCCTTGTCTCTGGTCTTCCCGAGTCCCTGCCATCCCTCCCGCGCTCGCCTGCCCCACCGTGCCTTCCCTGCGTCGAGGGGCGGCAGCGCGCCGCTCCTCACTCCTCCGAGTTTCCTCCGACCACTGCTCCTCTGCAGACTCTCCACATGGACGTGTGGGGCCCGGCCCCCGTCGGTGGAACAGACCAGGAGCGCTACTTCCTGCTGGTGGTTGACGACTACACACGCTACACCACTGTCTTCCCCTTGCGGCGCAAGGCGGACGTCAGCGGTGTTTTGATCCCCTGGATCCGTGCTACTCGTCAGGACTTGCCAGTCCTGCATCTGCACTCTTACAAGGGCGGTGAGTCCTCTTCCGGCATCCTTGAGGGGTCCTGTCGAGACGAGGGCATCCGCCAGACGTTCACGCTTCCGGCCTCTCCTCAGCAGAATGGGATTGCTGGGCATCGCATTGGATTGATCATGGAGGTTGCTCGTACCTCCATGATCCATGCGGCTGCTCCCCATTTTCTGTGGCCGTTTGCGGTCCGATACGCTGCCCATCAGCTCAGCCTCTGGCCCCGTATCTCTGAGCCAGAGACCTCGCCCACACTCCGGTGGACGGGGAAGATTGGCGATGCGTCGGTGTTTCGGGTCAGGGGCGCGCTCTCCCTTGTTCGCGATGCCAAAGCGAGCAAGCTCTCCTCTCGCACTCTTCGCGGTGTCTTCCTTGGCTTCCCCACCGACGCCCCGCCGTGGCAATTCTACCACCCGCGCGAGCGTCGAGTCTTCTCCTCCCAGGACGTCACCTTTGACGAGTCTGTCTGTTTCTACAGACTACACCCGGGCGCGTCCCACTTGGTCCCCCTCGCGCCTCTCTTCCTGGTACCAGTCCCCCCCCCCCCCCGGTAGACCCACTCCCCCCATTGGGTCCTGCTCCCTCAGGTGTGTCTCAGGTAGACCCACCCCCCTTGGATGAGCCAGTGGAGATCTCCTCTGACTCCTCTGGCCCAGTCGAGGGGGGTGACCCCGCCGCAGACGACACGGCGGCCACTCGCCGCTCTACACGCTTGGCGACCCCCCCTGGTTTTCCGCCTCGGCCGTCTTCGCCGCCTCCGCATGCTGCTGCTGTTGACTCTGGAGCTGAGACTGCTGGTGCTGAGCCTGGGGGTGCTGAGCCTGAGGTTTCCCGCTCTCCACGCTTGGATACCCCCCCTGGTTTTCTGCCTCGGCCGTCTTCGCCGCCTCCGCAGCCTGCTGCTGTAGACCCTGGAGCTGAGACTGCTAGTGCTGAGCCTGGGGGTGCTGAGACAGAGGGTGAGGGTTCTCGGGGTGCTACGCCTGGGGGTGCTGCGACTGGGTGTGCTGGTTCTAGGGGTGCTGCGACTGGGGGTGCTGACTCTGGGGGTGATGCGAGTCCTAGTGGCGGTGGAGCTGTGGGTGACCCTGCTGGAGGTCCTGGAGCTGGACAGCCACCGCAGCCTGATCTACTTGAGACGCTCTCGCCGAAGGCGATTCGTTCGTGGATCGTTCGGCGAGGCAGTCCTGGTGGTGGAGGGTAAGGTCCTGCTGGTGCTGGAGCTGCTAGTCCTGGAGGTGCTGGAGGTGCTGGAGGTACTGCTGGAGGTACTAGAGGTACTGCTGGTGCTGGAGGTACTGGAGCTGCTAGTCTTGGAGGTACTGGAGGTGCTGTTGGTGCTGGAGGTGCCGGAGCTACTAGTCCTGGAGGTGCTACTGGTGCTGGAGGTGCTGGAGCTGCTGGCACTGGAGGTGCTAGTGCTTCTGGAGCTGGAGGTACTGGAGGTGCTGGTGCTACTGGTGCTGGAGCTGCGGGAGCTGCTGGTCCTGGAGGTGCTCGTACTAGAGGTACTGGAGCTGCCGGAGCTGGTGGTGCTGCTCGTGCTGGAGGTGCTACTGGAGCTGCTGGCACTGGAGGTGCTGCTGGTGCTGGAGGCGCTGGAGCTGGAGGTACTGGAGGTGCTGGAGCTGCTGGTCCTGGAGGTGCTCGTACTAGAGGTGCTGGAGCTACCGGAGCAGGTGGTGCTGCAGGTGCTGGAGGTGCTACTGGAGCTGCTGGCACTGGAGGTGCTGGAGGTACTGCTGGTGCTGGAGGTGCTGGAGCTGGAGGTACTGGAGGTGCTGGAGGTGCTGGAGTTGCTGGTCCTGGAGGTGCTCGTACTAGAGGTGCTGGAGCTGCCGGAGCAGGTGGTGCTGCTGGTGCTGGAGGTGCTGGACGTGCTGGTGCTGGAGGAGCTGGAGCTGCTGGTACTGCCCCGCGCCGACTGTTTTTTCTACCTGCAGCCGTAGTCGTCCCTGCCGCCGCCTGACTCGGTCCTTCGCCAGGTTCTTAGTCTCCCGTCTTCCACTGGCCTCACTCTACCTCTCCTGTGTCCACCGACAGACCAGTGTCAACCACAACTCAAGCCTGGCTCCCCGCTGCCTGCTCCTACTCCTTACACTGAGGTGACTGAGTTCCTGACTGAGCGTCGTGAGCCTGCGACTCGTGCTTCCACACCTGTTCGGGCTCGTCGTGTCGCCCGTCCTCGTCCTCCTGCTGTCCCAGGCACTAACGGTATGGCACTTCGTCCTTCCTCGGTTCCACAGCGTGTTGTCCTGCCTGAGCCTCCCGCGTCCTCTCTTCCGCACGTTCTTGACCCTGCGTCCGAACTTGCTCGTGCTGCCAGTCCTACTGTCACTCGTCTCCTCGCTACTGTTGTCACTGACCCTGACTTTGAGTCTACTGCAGCGTTTGCCCTAGTCACTGAGCTAGTCGACTTTGCAGCTAGGAGTCGTCTCGACTACGTCGCGAGTCTTGTTACTGAGTCTGGGTCTGTCTGTCCTCCGTCCGTCGGGGGTGAGCAGTGACGTCCTTGAGGACATGCAGTTTGAGCTTGAGTGTCTTGCGGCCGATGTACCTCGTTTCGCATCCATACTGCTTTGCCCTGAGGGAGACCCGGATGCACTTGACATCCCTACCCCGCGCTCTTACGCTGAGGCGATAGCGGGTGAGTACTCCTCTCAGTGGCAGGCAGCCATGGATGCAGAGCTGGCTTCCTGGAAGTCCACTGGCACCTACGTCGACGAGGTTCCTCCTCCTGGGGCGAACATAGTCGATGGCATGTGGATTTTCAGAGTGAAGCGGCCGCCAGGTTCTCCGCCTGCCTTCAAGGTGCGTTACGTTGCTCGAGGCTTCAGTCAGCAACAGGGGGTCGACTTCTTCCAGACCTTCTCCCCCACCCCGAAGATGACTACTCTTCGGGTGCTGCTGCACGTTGCAGCACAGCGTGACTACGAGCTGCACTCCCTCGACTTCTCCACAGCTTTCTTGCAGGGCAGCCTTTACGAGGAGATATGGCTGCGCCGCCCACCTGGCTTCACTGGGTCGTTTCCTGCTGGTACCCAGTGGAGCCTCCGACGGCCAGTCTACGGTCTATGCCAGGCGCCCCGAGAGTGGCACGACACACTGAGGACTACACTTGCGGCTCTTGGGTTTGCTCCTTCCTCTGCTGACCCGTCGCTGTTTCTACGCACCGACACTACCCTGCCGCCGTTCTACGTTCTCGTGTACGTCGACGACTTGGTTTTTGCTACTGCTGACACTGAGGAGCTGCAGGTTAGACACACCTGCACTGGCCTGGGTGAGCTGCGTAGCTATCTTGGCTTGCAGATCACCCGGGACAGAGCACGGCGCACCATCACCCTCATCAGTCACACATGGTGCACCAGGTCCTTCGGCGCTTCGGCTTCCAGTACTCCTCACCACAACCCACTCCTCTGTCTACCGGCCACTTGCTCTCAGCTCCACCTTCGGACGAGTCCGTAGAGCCGAGTGGTCCGTACCCAGAGCTTGTGGGTTGCCTCATGTACCTGATGACGTGCACACGACCTGACCCCGCGTACCCTCCCAGCCTCCTGGCTCGCTACGTGGCTCCTGATAGACACCGAAAGGTGCACTTTGATGCTGCGAAGAGGGTACTGCGTTACTTGTGCAGTACATCGGGCATGGGCTCGTGCTTGGAGGATGGGGTTCAGTGGTACGCACAGGACGCTCCGATGCTTCTTGGGCCGACGACCAGGTGACGCAACGTTCGTCACAGGGTTACACCTTCAGTCTTGGCTCTGGTTCTGTCTCGTGGAGGTCCACTCGTACTTCTTCTGTGCTTGGTTCCAGCTGTGAGGCCGAGGTCTACGCTGGGGCTATGGCTGCACAGGAGCTCCGTTGGCTGACCTACCTGCTGACCGACTTGGGGGAGCGGCCTCGTTCTCCTCCAGTTGTGTACGTTGACAACAAGGCCATGCTTGCCTTGTGTCACGAGCAGAGACTGGAGCACAGAACGAAGCACATTGCTCTTCGCTACTTTCTTGCTCGAGAGCTGCTGCTGCGTGGTCAGCTTCGCTTTTCCTATGTGGCCTCTCGGGCCAACACTGCTGATGTCTTCACCAAGGCCCTCGGGTCTGGTGATCATCAGCATTTTTGCACTGCTCTTGGGCTTCTACCCCATCTGCCTCACCTGCTTGTCTCTTGATCTTGCACTTGTTGTACACTGATATCTATATGTATACCTGCATGTTTTCTCTTGCTAGGTTATGATCAGTGTACTGCCTTGCTATTATAACTTTGCATGTGAACTGGCCTTGTGGCCGCTTGCTTGTGCTCGGATTGTGTGGTGTTCTTGAGATCCACCCTGAGCTTTGCTTTGCTTTGCTCTGTTGTCTTGCTTGACTGGTCTTGTGACCGTCTTGTTGTCCCCCACTTAGCCTATGGGGGTGTGTCAAAGTACAATCTTACTTGTAGGCTATAGTGGGGCACTCCTTATGGGGTACAGCACTTCTAGGGTTAGTACTTGTACCCCAACTCTTGCTAATCCAATCATTCCTGCACAGTTATTCTGACATATTTGTCTGTCAATTTTGTTTCTATATCTATTTATTTCTGCGCCACACCCAACTGCTCCACGTTTTCCCCTCTGGCGGGCGGCTCACTGCTCAGGGCGTGTCAATAACACATACGGTACAGTGAAAATAAATCACAATCATTCTACCGTACTACGAGTACTGTTGTTACAAAAGAATTCCCGATACACCTCGTTTAGCGACGGATCCGCGTCTCTCATGCGGCGCAGCAGCTGCTGCTGCGCCTCCCGCGTGCTGAGCTTCCACGGGTGCAGCGCGGGAATGAGCGTGGAGTAGGAGGCGTTGACCTGGTCGCGCAACGCATCCCAGAGGTAGACCGTGGCGTCTAGCACTGGGTCCCACTGTGAAAAGGGCTCCACGCACAGCAGCATGTTGCCCACAGCCACCTGGAGGGGAGCAGGGGAGAGGGATGGGTTGGGATGGGATGGGTTGGATTGGGATGGGTTGGGATGGGATGAGGGGGGAGGGGGTGATGGAAATTGGAGGCCAGACCCTGCTTTGACAGAAACAAAATTACAGGGGAGCACATCTTATCTCACCTCATCTCACCACATCTCACCTCTGAGTACACGTGACTGAGTGCGGGCAGTAGGTGGGTGGAGATGGGGGGAGCATGGCGCATGGGCACATAAACCACATCTGCAATCCGCTTCGTGTACATCCCCTTGTGCTCCACAGTCGCCTCTTTAAACCGCGCACGCAGGGGCGGCGACAGGCTGTCCACCGCCGCCAGCACTAATCGTCTTATTCGGGGGTTGTTGGTCCAGTCAGGCACGTCCGGGGTGAAGGGGCCCGAGGGGGAGAGGGAGACCCAGCGGTAGTCGAGAGTGGGGTTGTTGGGGAACCAGATGCGAGACTGGGAGGGCAAGCGGAAGAGACGGGGTGGGGGAGAGGGAGGGGGCGGAAGGTGGGGGGAAAGAGAGAGGGGGTGGGACTGTTGAGCAAAGGAGGAAAAATGGAGCGTCCAGGATGGATGGGCCTGAGTAGGAGAGGGGTATTGTACCCAGCAGTAAAGGAGTGCAGAGTTGTTGGGGAAGGGAGGGGGAAGGAAAAGGAGGGACTTGAATCGCTGAAGTGCTTACGCAAGTTATAATGTCTTGAGACGTCTCAATTACGACAGAAAACCTTATCACCATCAACAGCCAAAAAATATCATCCATAGTTTATCCCCCCTTGCTTGCGTTTTTTCTTGTCACCTTTACTCCATCCTTTCATCCCTCCCTCTACCACAAACCCCTCCGTCCCTTCTCAGAACGGCCTTCTCCCCCTCTTCCCCTCTGCCCCGCTTCCTCTCCTAAATCCCACCCGCCTCCACCCCTCTCCCCCCCATCCCCCAAGCACCTTATTGGCACCAGCAAAGTCCCAGTAGTTGAGAATAACGTCGTCGTTGCACCAGAGCACGCCGGCAGCGGAGGGGTGGCTCTCGAATACGTCTGCCAGCGTGGCGTGTGCAAAATACCACGGCGTGCGCTCCCCACCGCCCACTCCACGCATCTGGGAAGAGCTCAAGGACATGGGAGTTGGGTGCAAGAGGGAGGAGGGAGAAGAGGCGAGGGAGAGGGAGAGGGGGGGAGGGGGAAGTGGGGGGGTGGAAGGGGAGAGGGGTGGGAGATTTGGGGTGATATTTATTCGAAACGTTTCCACCTTCAGCCATGTCGACTCGAGACATTTCTACGAGCGAGGTGACACAAGGACACGGCACCTTCTAAATGGGCTTGAGGCATGACTCTGCTTCTTCAATCAATTCAGGCCACACATATGAAGAAAATATTCCATCTGCTCGGCCAGTCTACACGCCATGCCTGATAGGCACAGAATTTCAGCCGAACTGACCCGCACACCACTCCCAACGCTCACAAAACAGCTTAAAGGCGCCCGTCATCCCATCATCCCATCAGTCTACCTACCTACCTACCTCCAACTTTACCCATCAGTCTAATACCTACTGAATATCCTACTTAATCTCTCACCCGCAGAACGCCAAGCTCAGGAATCGCCTCGTCCGAGTAGACCACTATGTCTTGGAACACGCGCCCATACACCCTCCTTAGCAGCGCCACGGACGCGTTAACCAGCGGCGCGTGATTGTAGAAAATCGCCAGCACCACTCCGTGAAGCCGCTCCCGCCATAGGGTCAAGTTCGCGGGCGCAGGAGGGGAGGGGTCGGTGGGGGCGCGGGGGGGGGAGGCGCAGCAGAGGGGGTCCGGGTGCGCGCAGGGCGGCGGGGGGCTGGGCGCGGCGGCGCAGGGGGAGGTGGCGGCGATTGGGAAGAGCTGTGTCGGGGGTGGAAGGAGGGGAAGAGGGGGAAGCGGGGAAGGAGTAATAGGAAAGTGAGGAGTAATGGGGGAGTAATGGGGGGGTGAGGAAGTGAGGACGGAGAACTGGTGTAGGGGACGGGACGGCAGCAGGTAAGGAGCAAAAGGAGGAGTATTACGGCACATGACATGAGCAGCGTTGGGGCACCGGGCCGGGGAAAGAGTGCGACTGATAACGCTAATCTCAACGTCAACGTCGGCATGTTTTCATTCGCGCGGGGAGAACAACGGGAATGCGAGCTTCGCAGTAACGACGCCGCAGCGACGCAACAGCAGCGACGTCGCACCTGGAGAGGGTCGCAGTCGCGCGGTCCGGCGCGGAAGGTGAGCAGGAGGGAAAACAAGGGGGCCCCCGGAAGCAAGAGGTAGGAGATTAGGAGCACGAGGGTAATGCAGCAGCCCGCTGCCGCGCTGACATGCCACTGGCGCAAAGACGGCGCAATCCCCGCCGGAAACGGCGGAGACAACGCCTTTTGCGATATGATTTCACGAGGTGACAAGTGTTGGGAACGGGGAGATAGTAAGGAGGCGCGGCCAGATTCAACCGTGGCATGAATATCGTTGTCGTGAATGGAATCGTGAATATGGCTGTAATCGGGACGACGAGGGCCGCGCGAGAGCCATCTTACGGCGTGGCGCCACCACTCCATCGCGGATGGAGGTGATCGCGCGCCGCCTACTACTGGCGATGAACGCTTCGCAGCGACAGACCCGCTGATCAATACGAGTTCGTACTACGAAAGCCAAGTGTGGAGCTGTATCGCGCTCGTGAATGTAGTGAGCCTCGAAATTACACTGCCGTCCTGGTAGAATCATCTCAGGATGCTGATGTGAGCGTACTAGGGAATTTTCGATAAAGAACTAAAGCGGCTGGAATAGAGAAAAGGGAGGGGTAATTGCCATTGCCACCTTTTGACGGAGAGGGTGGTGAATCGGGAGTGGTAGGGCCGTGTTCGTAACAGACGTAATATGCGACTCTTCTGAAGGAGAGCTGCAGTTTTCCGCACATTTTTCTGGAGGAAATCATCCTCTATTACATTGATGGAGCACCTATGGCATGCATTTTTGTTTTCTGAGCCAAAAGTGCAGCTGAAATTATGAGGAAATACCTTCAAGGCGGAAGAGTTTGTTTTTAGATTGTCCCTAAACGACTTGCATCTCTTGAACACGCCTCCGAGATGGCCTGGTTGGGCCGCGATCGATCAATCAATCCCCCCATCCGTTCCGCCGCACCGCACCATGTGGGGTGCTCCGTGCAGCTGCGCGTTGCACGGATGACTGTACGAGTGCTGCTGGTCAAGGGGGAAGGTGTGCGAGCAAAACTTTCCGGCCTGGGTCTGTGGATTGGTCGGACATGAGTTTCCAAAAAAACGACCCTAGTGTATTGAGCTAGAGCCGATAATAAATCGGTGTCACTGAATTACTTCCACTCGGAGTCGCGAAGTTGTCGTTTTTCCCCCTGGTTGAAAATTTAGGGAACAAATAAAAAGTCCCCCCAAGTTCAACACTGGGTCCAAGGATATTTACAGGCTGAGTCAGCCTGGTTTTAGCGCTGCTGACTGGGGTTCAGTCGCACAACGCGTTGTAGACCGCAGTACAGTGCACTGGCCGAATCAGCACTGGTGCTCAAAGTTCAAAAGGCGCGCGATTCAACATTGCTGGATATAGTGATATATAACCATTCCGAAATCATAAAGTGCATCAACAAAGAAAATCATTAGCTAGGAAACAACTAGAATTCCTCAACTAGTTTAAAAAATCAGAGTTATATAAGGTTGAGAACCTATAAATTGCTCAGCATCGTACTAATCAAATACAACCTGCTGCACGAACCCACTGAATAATATCCTTCGAAATTACTCCCTTCGATCGTCGCGACGATTCATTCTCCAACAAAGGCCCCAAAATTTTCGCCATACGCAAATTCGTCATCATCTCATCCAACGCCCACATTGCCCACTCACCCAGGGATGTGCTACTAGGCTGCTCATGTCAAATTACAAATATGCATGTTAGGCTTTAGTGGGGCACACAATTTGCGGTACAACACTTGTTAGGGTTTGTACTTGTACCCCTTCCCTTCTAGTAAACTTTATTCCGCTGTTCAGTTCTGAGATGGTATCAGAGCTAGCTACGTTCCTAGCTTAGTTAGTACGTTATGCCCCACCCGTTAGCAGGCCGCGCCCTGCCCTACCCTGCCCTGCCCCGTGCTGACGCACGGCCCGGCGCGCTGTCGCGCTGTCCTGCCCCGCGCGTTGCCCTGCACCGCGCGCGGCCCTGCCCCGCACTGACGCGCTGCCCTGCGCACCGTCGCGCTGACCTGCCCTGCGCTGCCGTGCTGCCCCTTTTGCGCTGCCCTGCACTGCCCTGTACCGCGCTATCGCGCTACCCCGCCCTGCCCTGCCACGCCACGCGCTGCACGCGCAGCCCCACCACACTGCCGCTGCGTTGCCGCCTGCACTGCAGCCCGCGCACTGCCAGCCATTGCCTGCTGGCCCGCTGCTGCCTGTGCGTTGCCCCGCGCCACCACTCGCTGCAGGCCCACTGCAGCCCGCTGCCCACCCACTGCCGCGCCGCCTACAGCCGCACTGCCCGCCGCCGCGCCGCTCTGCCTCCTGCCGCGCCGCACCGCCCTGCCGAGCCGCGCAGCGCCGCCCTGCCGAGCCGCGCCGCGCCGCGCCGCCCTGCCTACTGCCCCACCGAACCGCTCACCTTCTGCCGTGCTGTAGACCGACCCGCCGCCCGTGCTCCTACTGTCAGACCTAGTTTCGGTCATGGCTACTTTCACTGTCCTAGCGTTTGACCCAGAGGGGCGCCCTATCGAGTTCGAGTCATGGCTAGAGGATCTGCACCTGTACCTGCAGAGTGTCACTAGAGACGATTTCTCACAGTTCGAGCACACGTCGGGGTCCCTCAAGGCCTCCGAGCCTCCATTTGAGCCTTCCCCTACTGCTGCGGAGGATGTGCAGAAGAATTACAGGGCTAACCGTGCTGCCTGCACGTAGTGGACGGCGTGCGACGCATCTGCTACCCTTGCTATCCGCAACCACCTCTCGCCCGACCAGAGGGTCCATTTTCGCCAGATGAAGTCGGCTCACGCTTTCTATACCGCTGTTGTCAAGCGCTACTCCCCCCCCATCCTCTGCCACCCTGGGTCGTCGTGCGTTGCCGTTTCTCTTCCCCATCCTTTTTTTAGGGGTGCACTCCCTCCCTTCTAGCGTCTTCTGTTGCCTCTGCTGTTGCTGTTGACTTCCTCGGTGCTGAGGAGGTCGGTGCGGCGTCCGCTGCTAGCAGGAGGCGCGGCAGGGGTGAACGCCAGAGGGGTGGGGGTGGTAGGGGTGGTGGAGGTGGCGGAGGCGGTGGGGGGCGCGGGGGTGGTGGGGGTCGCGGGGGTGGCGGGAGTGGCGGAGGAGGTGGGGGTGGTGGTCGTGGAGGAGCTGCTGGGGGTGGTGGCACCGATGCGGCGACTGGTGGAGTGGACAGAAGAAGAAGAACGAGTGGACCTCCACGAGACAGAACCAGAGCCAAGACTGAAGGTGTAACCCTGTGACGAACGCTGAGTCGCCTGGTCGTCGGCCCAAGAAGCGTCAGAGTGTCCTGTGAGTACCACCGAACCCCGTCCTCCAAGCACGAGCCCCATGCCCGATGTACTGCACAAGTAACGCAGCACCCTCTTCGCAGCATCAAAGTGCACCTTGCGGTGTCGACCAGGTGCCACGTAGCGACCCAGGAGGCTGAGAAGGTACGCGGGGTCAGGTCGTGTGCACGTCATCAGGTACGTGAGGCAACCCACAAGCTCTGGGTACGGACCACTCGGCTCTACGGACTCGTCCGAAGGTGGAGCTGAGAGCGAGTGGCCGGTAGACAGAGGAGTGGGCTGTGGCGAGGAGTACTGGAAGCCGAAGCGCCATGTGTGACTGAGTCAGGGTGATGGTGCGCCGTGCTCTGTCCCGGGTGATCTGCAAGCCAAGATAGCTCCGCAGCTCACCCAGGTCAGTGCAGGTGTGTCTCTCCTGCAGCTCCGCCTTCACTAGGGCCAGCGCCTCAGTGTCAGCAGTAGCAAAAACCAAGTCGTCGACGTACACGAGAACGTAGAACGGCGGCAAAGTAGTGTCGGTGCGTAGAAACAGCGACGGGTCAGCAGAGGAAGGAGCAAACCCAAGAGCCGCAAGTGTCGTCCTCAGTGTGTCGTGCCACTCGTGGGGCGCCTGGCGTGGACCGTAGACTGGCCGCCGGAGGCTCCACTGGGTACCGGCAGGAAACGACCCAGTGAAGCCAGGTGGGCGGCGCAGCCAGATCTCCTCGTGAAGGCTGCCCTGCAAGAAAGCTGTGGAGAAGTCGAGGGAGTGCAGCTCGTAGTCACGCTGTGCTGCAACGTGCAGCAGCACCAGAAGAGTAGTCATCTTCGGGGTGGGGGAGAAGGCCTGGAAGAAGTCGACCCCCTGTCGCTGACTGAAACCTCGAGCAACGTAACACGCCTTGAAGGCAGGCGGAGAACCCGGCGGCCGCTTCACCCTGAAAATCCACATGCCAATGACGATGTTCGCCCCAGGTGGGGGAACCTCGTCGATGTAGGTGCCTGTGGACTTCCAGGAAGCCATCTTTGCGTCCATGGCTGCCTGCCACTGAGAGGAGTACTCACCCGAAATCGCCTCTCTGTAAGAGCGCGGGGTGGGGATGTCAGGTGCATCCGGGTCTCTCAGGGCAAAGGAGCATGGACGCGAAACGAGGTAAAGCGGCTGCAAGACACTCAAGCTCAAACTGTCTGTCCTCAAAGACGTCACTGCTAAGGGCAGGCTCACCCCCGACGGCAAAGGACAGACAGACTCAGACTCAGTAATAAGACTCGCGACGTAGTCGAGACGACTCCTAGCTGCAAAGTCGACTAGCTCAGTGACTAGGGCAAACGCAGCAGTAGACTCAAAGTCAGGGTCAGTGACGACAGTAGCGAGGAGACGAGTGACAGTAGGACTGGTAGCACGAGCAAGGTCAGACTCAGGGTCAGGAACGTGCGGAAGAGAGGACGCAGGAGGCTCAACGAGGACAACACGCTGTGGAACAGAGGAAGGACGAAGTGCCATACCGTGAGTGCCTGGGACAGGAGGAGGACGAGGACGGGCAGGTGT